TGTCAAATAAATAAATAAAATCTTTAAAAAAATAAACAAAACAAGAAATATTATTAGAACTTAAAAGAAACACTTCAACATGGTAAGCCTGTCATGAGAAGATAAAATAATTACAAATATGTATTATTCATCCTACAATAGAACCCTCAAACATATGAAATAGAAACTGACGGATTTGGGAGGATAAATGAACAATTCAATGAACACAGCTGGAGATTTGAAAGCTCTTCCATCAGTAAATGAGAGACCATCCAGTCACAAAATCAGGAGCCCCATGGAAGACTGGCAGAGCTCTAGGAACCAGCTTGACAAAATTGACATATATAGAAATTATTCTTCTAGGTCATAAATAGGGATCAAACATTGACAGGATGGAAATTTTCCAAAGTATATTTTCTGAAGACTAATCAATTTTTGTCTAAAGGAATAAATTAGAAGCAACAACAGAAAGAAATTTGGGGAATTTCCAAACATGTGGAAAAGTGACACACTTCTGAAATATTTATAGTTCAAAAATGAAATCTGTGAAAATACCTTGTACTGGGTGATACAAAACTGAGAATTATCAAAAGTTTTAAGGTGCAACAAAAGTAGTGTTTAGGACAATTCATAGCTCTGTCACTTATACACAAAAGGAAGAATGTTATAAAATGAATGATCTGAGTAGTTTCCCTCTCAAGACACTGTACAGAGAAGAACCTATTAAAGTTAGAGAAGAAAGAAGTGATAAACATATACTAGACTGAAGTTGACTGTGAAGTACGAATACTAGAGTAACTCAGGGCAGCCTAAGTGGATCAATACCTAAATATCCAAGAGCATTAGCAATAGCATGGATGAATGCACTGTAGTAGAACCAGACAATGGAGTAGCAAGGAGTTTGGATGATTTACAACTTCGTGCAACTATATGGATGAAAAGCACAAGTTTATCTTCCCCTGAAAATGCCAAAAATAAAATATCCACACTGTATGATTCTACTTATGTAAATGTTTGTAAATGGGGGTGAAAACATGAAAGGGGCATTTTGCAGTGCTGGTAATATTCATTTTCTCCTTCATATGATGGTGACACTTGAAAATTCAGCCAGCTGTTGGCATGTATTGCTTGTGCAACCATCTGTATGTACATTATACCACAGTAAAATTAACATAAGAGAATACCATGAAAATATGTAAATATGTTTAAAACTAGACATAAAATTGAAAACATCCTACCAAATACAACTTGTGAAAACCAAAACAAAAGGAAATAAAAATATCAGAATTCTCTTAACTTCTAATATAATTTAATCTATAATCCAGAAGCTTTTCATACTCAGTTACAGAATATTTAGATGCTTATGAGTAAAGAAAGATGAAATATTAATTAAAAACCAAAAAGACAATCTTACAACGTAGAAAAAGGGTCAATAAAACATGTGTGCATTTTCTTGGAATACTAAGAAAAGGAGATTACATGTCAGTGGCAATCTAAACTGGTTCTGATAATATACAAAAATAATGGACTATGACGTCAGTAGATTTATTGAAGCAATACCAAGTTGGATTTACATTTGAAATTCCATTAACTTAATCTGCACTTGATCTTACCCAAAAGGCCAAGAAGCGATTCATTAATTTAATCTGTCACATTAGCAGAGTAAAGAAGGCCAAATGATGTGATTTCTCTGATGCAGAAGATAAAACGAATTTTCATTCTTAACTTAAAAAAATCATTTAGACTGATAGAAATAAAAAAGGTAAACAGCCATGCAAATATCTAGAATAGATATGATAACTCTGAAAAAGAACTAATATAAACCTACTGTTTATAAAAAGACATTTTTAAAAGTATGGATTGATAAAAATATATACAAGATTAAAGAAACTGAAGAGAAAGTGAAAAGTTTATACCCACACATATATGGAATGCATATTTCAGCAATGATGCTAAGTCATTCTGTGGAGAAAGTATAGTGTTACAATAAATGTTGTGGAAACAATTAGTTTCAAATGAAATTAATAATATATACTTTATACCATATACAAAAATGTTAAAAGATGATCATCTGTAAGTGCAAATGATAAAATTTCAAGAAGACGTATTAGGAAAAACATCTGACCTCAAGTTGGGCAGTGATTTCTTAGAGAAAAACAAAACATGATCCATAAAAGAACAAAGTGATGAAGTGTAGTTCCTTAAGATAATGTCTGCGCTTTGAAGAGAAAAGAAAGACAAGTCATAGACTGAGAGGAAATATTTACAAATAATACATCTAATAAAAAACTTGCTGCCAAGATACAGAAAGAATTCTCAAAATACGATAACGAAAAGTAAAAATATAACAAATATATTTCAAGATACTTCACCAAAAAGCATATATTGATGGCAAATAAATACAAAGAAAGTTGCTCAACATTATCAGTCTTAGGAACATTCACATTAGAACCACTACATATCAGAATTCCTATTCCAGCAATAAAGAGAGGATATGCTACTGTTCCCTACTTCCTCCACCAAATACAGCTAAAACACCTGGATATTATACACAAAACAACGTAACATTCAAACAGATAATGAGAAAACTGACAGAACTGCGCCCTCTAACCCCAAGGAATGATATGGCGGTGAACGCCCTGGAATTTCTCTTTGCCTCACATATCCCAGACTGGGGAGCAAACCAGACACCAAAGTACACAGACAAAAGGTCCCAAAATGTTTTTTTCTCTCTAGTCAACATAATAGAAAAAAGGCATGCTAGAAAGACCTGAACAAACAAACAAAAATGTAGACACTAAGTGCGTTATTTCAAGCAACTATTGACTATCCATGGGACACATCACTCAGGAATGCAGGGGAAATCAAGACATTGTGAGATAAAGGAAAACTAGGAAAAGTGTCACCGCCACCCCCACTCTGAAAGAACTGCTAAAGGGAATTATCCAAACAGAAATTAAATGATAACAGAAGGAATAAATGGAAAGGAAGAAATGGAAAACGAAAGAAAGTATAAAACTATCATTAAGCCTAAGGGACATTGCTTCAACTCTAGTGTCTAAATTGTTTAATATTTGAATGAAAATCATCAGTTGAAGCAAAGTGATAACATTCATGTAATTCTCAACGTAAGTAAAGAAACATTTAGAACAAAGTAGAAATGAGACACAGTAAAGGGACATCAAGGAAGGGAAGGCTCTACATTTTACTCAAAGTGCTGTGGGTTGTGACAGAATGTGAAGACTGCTACATGTGTTTATAATTATCTATGTAAAGATATATACTATCTATATTATTTATATGAAGCACATTAGAACATATGTGGACATATATATGACTATATATGTATAATTATTTATGAAGAAGAGATTGACTTTGCTTTACATTATGCTCCATCAGTTAGGTTCATGATGTAGAAAACTATAACCTTCATATATATCTCACTGCATTGCAAATACAACATCACCAAAAGTAATTCCAATTGGATCAGAAACTCTAATTAAAGTGAAAAATTAATAAAGAAAGAAAAAAGAGGCAATATAGGAAATTATGTTTATGAACTTTGATGAACTTCTGAAATAGGTTCAAAATAATCACTAACACCCAAATGATATATGGGACCATGGTAATACTAAAATTCTGATCATTAAAGGACTCCAATAGGGAAGTAAAAATGCAATATACAGCTATTTCCATCTTGTAAACTCAAAAAAGAGCTCATATTTAAAACATGATAAGGACTTCCAAGAAGACAAAAGAAAACACCATCTAGGAGAAATGAGCAAGAGACATACTCGAGTCCTTCTCACCGAAGAGAATACCCTAATAACTCACAACCCAGGATAATGATACTGTTGTATAACCACCAGAACTTTTTGTCATAATTTTCCACAGACCTCTGAATTTTGGATCAAGGGACTATTTTGTAAAATGTATTTACACAATACATTAGATAAATGTAGGGAAATTGTAATATATTGAAAGACACACATATCTATGACTGAGCAATTTCATACTAATGCTTTGAAGAAAATGTATAATAATCATATATAAATACAATTACAATGTTGCATTTATGCATTGTTATTTTGACAAATGCATTATTCACATTTCATAAATATACTATATACTATGTAGTTATGTATAATAGTTATTATAAATACAATACCTGGAAAACTCATAGAAAAAGCCTTTCATAAAATTATTATTTGTAACACCCACATACAAAAAGGAAGTACATTTCTGAGAATTGATTTTAAAATGTCATATTCATATAAGACAGCAGCAGTGAAAATTCACAAACTACAGACAAATGCAGTAATAAAGATGGATTACAAATATCATACGAGAGTAAAAGGAGACACATATAATAATGCATACTGCATGATTCCATCGATATAAATTCCAAAAATAAGCAAAGATATTTCACAGTATTAAAACTGGCAGGGGTAATAGGGGCTCTAAACTTCTCGCTCATGATCTGATTTGTAATTATCTTCTGATTATTTTGTGATGAATATACACAAGCATGTAGTTTTCTTTTTTTTTAAGATTTCTTTATTTATTTGACAGAGAGAGAGAGAAAGATCAAAAGTAGGCAGAGAGGCAGGGAGAGAGGAGGGGGAAGCAGGCTCCCGCCCAGCAGAGATCCCAATGCGGGGCTCAATCCCAGGACTCTGAGATCATGACCAGAGCCGAAGGCAGAAGCTTAACCCACTGGTTAAGGTGCCCCAATCATGTAGTCTTCATGATGGGTGGTAAAAAATATAGTAAGGTTATTTCAGGCAAAAGAGCATTTATAGAAGTATGGCTTTCTAAGGAAAGCAAGAACTATAAATTATTAAATATACATTAAAGGTATAAATTTAGCAAAATATCATAGAATCAAACTATGGAATAGTAAAAGACTTTAAAATAAATAAACAAGAAATATAAATATGTATGAGTATATGGATGAGATCTACAAATGTAATATTAAATGATAAGTTTTTAATAAAAGCTGGAAACATTTGAAACCTCACCATTTCCTCTTCATCCTCTATGGAGAGCAGGGTAGACTTCTTAGCACAGGACAACTGACTTTCATTCCATGGTTTTCTTTCAGTGCTAATGTAATAGCAAGTTTTGGAATATGTAATCCACTCTTTTGGACAATGAAAACATGGATCAGCTAAAAAAAGATTATGAAATAGTATCTAAAAGGCTTTGAATATTAAAACTTGCAAGTTTTCAACTTACACATGTATACACAAATGTGTATACAACACATCACTTCACCCTCACAAGTGGGCAAAAATAAAACACATGCACATTCCCAGAAGAGTTAGGCTTTCATCCCTTACTTATGTGCCAGTATAAAACAAACAAAAATGTCCATCACTACATGTACTTCGAGTCCCTGGACAAAACAATTTATTTGGAATTGTATATCGGTTTATATTATATCATGTTAAAGCAGGAGGAAATTTGAGGCCATTGATAACAATGGGTGTAGTAACTTTATTTTATTTTAATATCTATTTATTTATTTATTTGAGAGAGAGAGCGAGAGAGAGCATGAACCAGAGGGCAGAGGGAGAGGGAGAGAGAATTTAAAACAGACTCTGCATTGAGCGTGGAGCCGACATGGGGCTCAGTCCCAGGACCCTGAGTTCATAACCTGAGCCAAAACCCAGAGTCAGACGCTTCACTCACTGAGCCATCCAAGTACCTCATGTATGCTGATTTTAATGAGTATTTCCGCATACTGTTGTGTAAGAAGTAATACTCTCCTATACTCATCAATTATGAAAATTTACTACGCAATTTTCTAATTCGTTTTCCCCAAAACCATCTATTATCATCCTTGTCTAGCTTAAGATACAGATAAAATATAAGCTATCCTAATATCAGAGTTTTGGAAATGATTTTCTACCTTTCTGGGTCGTTATTTCCACAGACGCCTTGTTCTGCACTGGTCCTGTAGTAACTAGAAAAATTAAAACAATGCTCATAAAACTTAATATTAAACTAAATAAATGATTATGACTTGAGTTTCTTAGTTTGAAGTTTGGTATATTATTTAGAATGAGATATCTCTGTAATAAAATTGATTTTACCCATAAAAATTAAATAAAATAGTGAACATGTGGGGGAAGACAATTCAAAAGTTTAAAGAATCAAAACTCACAGTGTTCTGCAGTATTTGGTTTAAACAGTCTCAAGAACTAACTAGTATATCTCCCTAAAGTCTCTGCCATAACTTGTATTTCAGGTATGAAATCTGAATATATGTGTAATACTCTCTATATAGAGTTATTCTGTTATTTCTACTTTTGACATTCCACACTTAGAGCATGCATGCATTAAAATAAGGTAATACAATTCCATAATATTGTGCAACATTTCGAGCACCAATGATCATTAATGTGAAAAATTCCCTTGTCGTCATTGAAAACACTTACTTACAATGAACAACAGCTATTGTGACCACAGTGGACATCAAGACAAGGCAGATGATTCCCAGAATGTCAGCAATGAGCTTCCCTGGACATGAAGGTAAATAGTTGGAAAAAAAAAAATGAAAATGCTGAGAAAACACAGATGGAAAATAATCATTTAGGAAATTTATGTACAAGAAAGCCAACAATGGGGCGCCTGGGTGGCTCAGTGGGTTAAAGCCTCTGTCTTCGGCTCAGATCATGGTCCCAGGGTCCTGGGATCGAGCCCCACATTGGGCTCTCCACTCAGTGGGATGCCTGCTTCCTCCTATCTCTTTGCCTGCCTCTCTGCCTACTTGTGATCTCTGTTAGTGAAATAAATAAATAAATCTTAAAAAAAAAAAAAAAAGAAAGAAAAAAAGAAAGCCAACAATGCACAGGGAGTCACATATAAAAATTTGGACCCCAAACTTGCCTCTATCATTGGATTCTTCTTTCAGAATATGCCATTATATTTGCAGTAAATATATTACCTCCATGAGATTGAGTAAAGACCACGAATTACAACACTTGAACAAGATCCATCCTCAGATTTCAATTACAATACCATATTCCAGCCCCAAGCTCTGATCCACACAAATGAAAAATATGGGAGATCATTCCCTACTCATTCCCTGCACCCCTGCTCCCCAAGTGCATATACTAGAACAGTTGTATGTCTGTATTAAGTGTTTTACCTTTCCACTGGAAGTTCTTGCCATTCCCTTGAAGATCCCGAGAAACATCTTGAAGATTTAATTCTACATAGGTTATTTCCTGCTCTGTTTCCGAAATGCCACTTTTAGTGCCCTTAGCTTTCACTTGCTGTCTTCTTGAGCCCTTAACCTGACTGAGTTCTGCATACGTAACTTCTTGGTTATTCATCTCTGCAGCTGCATCCTGTCAGGCACAGGGCTGGGACTGTACTGAAGGTCTTGATTAATAGTGTATGCAATGACAAGATTGCTGGGACAGTCACACTGGGTGGAGTGTGGGGTGAGTGATAGTACTCATTTGCAATTGAACAATGTAAAATCTGGTACTACCTTCCTTATAGCTTTAAAGAAGTGCTTTATGATAGAATAAGTGGTTTTTATAATGATATTCTCTGTTTGACACCATAGTATTGATTGGAAACATGTAAAGCATCAAATTAGTGAAGAAGAAAAGAGGTCAGGAATAATATTGTCCTCATTAATGTAAGGCCAGATTCCACAGAACATGTCAATACTATTAGATAACTGGGTTAATATTAAAATGCTGTATTAGAAAGAAAATGCTGCAACAATTTTTTTTGACAAGTTTTAAATGCATTATTGGTTTAAAAAATTAGGTCCCCAGATTAGGGAATATTAGTTTTAGCACATATAGGAATTTCCTGGAGTAAATTACTTTTATTTAAGGCTCAGGTTTCTTTACTAAAATGTCATGTAGTGCTATCAAGTGGTCTTTTACTTTGAGTAATTGTGGAGTTTGGAGGAATCATTAATATTTAATGAATCTTTTATAAGTTGAAAAATGTTACATGACACAATAAATTTATTCAAACCCTGAACAATAATGAAATCAAAAACACCAAAAACTATTTTTTAAAAGTACTTATTTAACACCAGAAAATGACAACTGATTTTATGATAAAGATGTGAAAACTATAAAATGATAGATAAAAGTATAGTTCATTTATGGAAGAACACTGTTGGTACACTTCCAGAAAAACCTAAGAATGTCAAAGGCAGTAGGGAAACTTTAGTTGTATAGGGAATTCTAATAAATGAAATAAATGTAATTTCATAATTCAGTCAATGAGCTCAAAGTCACTGAAATATGGAATAACTCCTGGCTCTCAAATTTACAAACTATGACCTTTAAGAAGTTAATTCCTATCTAGCTACCTAGTTTATACTAATCTGAACTGGGAATTAAAATATATAAAATATAACACATTTAAAGCACTTAATATTTCACCCAGCTTTGCTAAGCTCTCAACAGTAAATTAGTTATCTTAAGTATTTTTAACAGAATAGTCACAGTATCATTGCTGATTCATATCCTTAGAGCAGGTAACATAATCCATTAGACAGGCATCTCTTTCAGTATTAAATATCATTTTTTACCAAGTTTTGATCAATTTTTTAAAAGGTTTTTTGATTATTTCATACCTAAATATAAATTAGCATTTTCCAGAAGATACCTCATCTGCTTTCCATGAACAATCAAACTGCTTTCATTTAGCAAAGCAAGTATATGAGGAATTAAGTTTGACATTTATGATTGAAGGCTTCATCTTAAATTATTTTCTTTCAAATATTTATGTAATTCTAGTTAGTTGACATATCGTATGATATTCGATTTGGTAGTAGAACTTAATGATTCATCATTTACATATAACCCCTAATACTCATCACTACAAATGCCCTTCTTAATAACCCATCTCACGTTTAGCCCATCCCCTGCCTACATGCTTTTCTCAGCAACCTTCAATTTTTTCTCTATAGTTAAGAATGTCTTATTGTTTGCTTCCTCTATTTTTTTCCCCTTCACCTATGTTCATCTGTTTTAAGAATCTATTTTCAAAGACTAGGCTAAAAGATCAAGTAGTATATGTAATTTTATCTATATTGATGACAAATCCAAAATTAACTGTCCCTTCTCATGATGCTTATGGGATTTCACATGAAATTATATTGATCTGCAGACACAATTATGTGCGTGTATATGCACCTAATTACTTCTCCACAGGCAAGAATTTGAATATGTTAAGAAATTCTCCAGTGTTTTTCATATTCATTCTTGTCTGTTACCCTGAATTGTTGGAATAAATATACCAATGTTTTCTGTGACTTGATTGCATATTAACTGTACCTCATGTGCATCCCATCCAGCATCTGTATCTCCCACTAAGTGAGGCAGCTAGGAGAGAGACAGCAGAGGCGTGACACATACCTTCTGTTGGCCAGAGAGTCCTACATCTTCCACTGGGAGACCAGGTTACTCTTGTAAACAGACAGTATCTGTGGTCTTCACAGACTGCCGGCCCTGTGAGCACTCAGAGTGAGGCAATAGTGGAAAAAGTAGATTTCTCATCAACGTGTCACTTAAAATTTGAACAGGAAATCCTTACACTTGGTCAATTTTGAAGACACTTTATCTCATCACACACCTCCAGAATGTCCAAGACTTACAGCTTGTAGTGTGTCAGTTAACTGCGATGTGACTCTGAGAAATGTTAATGTTCCACAAGATATTGGGTTCAGAGGCTTGACCACCCATGCTGTTAACTTGCTTTTTTCTCAGTCACAAATGCTGAGACCTGAAAATTCAGGTCTTTGAAGAGTATCTTAGATGTGTCAGTTCTATTTTTACACAGGTTGCTAAATCTTGGCATAACGTGCTTCTTTCCCTTAAACTCTCCTGATGTTATTTCTATTATAATGGGAAATATCTGTTAACATTGCCCCATTAACAACAGGAGTTTAGTGATATTTACCTCCAACTATTTAGAATGTGCATTGTCAAATTCTTTCTATACATCTGTTGAAAGCTTCATATGGTACTTATACTTTTTTATGAATATGGTGTATCACATTGTTTCCTTTGTGAATACTGACCAAGCCTTGCAGCCAAAAATTAAATCCCACTTGATTCTTTTAGTTATTGTTGGATTTGATTTGCTAGTATTTTGTTGAGACTATTTGCACCCATGTTCATCAGGAATATTGGCCTGCAGTCCTCTTTTATAGTGGAGTCTTTGTCTGGTTTTGCGATTAGGCTAATGCTGGCCTCATAGAATGAATTCGGAGGTTTTCCTTCCATTTCTATTTGTTTGGAA